CTCCCCAGCGAATCCACCTCGGCCCCCCATCCCACCCCATTTCGCGTTTCCCTGCCTGGCCCGGTGTACTGTGGGCATTGGGCTACTGACATCCGAGAAGGACCGGGGAGGAGGGCAGCGAGAAAGGGAATGAAACACCGCCTGAGGGCTTGAGAGGGGCTTATTCACTCTGGCTGGGAGGTTACCTGTCCCCCGCCCTCGCCGACACACACCTCCCGCAATGGCGGTGTCTGCTCGCTGAGCTTCACACCCGCTGCCCGCACCGGGAAACCAGAGCGCCGCAGCAACCCCGGATCCCGAATGCCCGGAAAAGGCAGGTGTGCCCGCCATCCGTACGGCACCGCTCCCCTGCTCCTGCCTCCAGGCCAGCAGGGACCCAGGAGTGGAGCAGCCAGCAGCCAGGGACTGTTCCCTCTGAGGGGAAGGTGAGGCCTTAGGGATCTCCGCTCAGCCTCCAAAGAACAGGATAGGATGTTTTCAACGAGCCTCTAAGGGATGAGGGAGGACAGACAGCGCTCTCTATGCTTCCCGGCTTCTTGAAGTGATTGAGGAACGGGGAGGGGGGAGAAGTGGGTTGTTGTCAGGGTAGGGACGTCTTTGCCGGGCTGGGAAGGTGGGAATAGGGAGTGGGGAGTGGGGGCAGGGGGAAAAGGGGCCTGTCCGCTGCCTTTGCTTTCAAATGCAACTCTCCCTCATTGTGCCCGAGACCAAAGGCAATTAATTCATTGGGACCATTTCCGAGCTGGCGCCACCGAGACATAGAAGTGACAAGGTAATTTGGACGTCTTTTTTTTTTTCTTTTTTTCTTTTTTTTAACTCAACGTGCAAACAAGGCCCTCACTACCGCACTTGGGGCTGGCATGAGTCGGCGAGAGATTTTACAGTCTTTATGGGTGCTTCCGCACTCGCCCGGGCACATTTCACCCTGCAAAACCACAAACAGCTCTTGGCCAGAAAACCCGTTTGATCTTACCCCCCCACACACATACAAAAAAAAAAAAAAACCCGCCGGTGTGGAGGATCGTAAGGGATTTCCTGAAGTATGCACTGTCTAGGCGATGGGGAAGAATAAAAATAAAATAGAGCAGATTGAAGAGGAGAGCGCGTGGTTGTCCCGGCCAAAAAGATCCTACGGGACAAGCCGCAGACCTGACGCATCCACGGTGGGAAGCCTGGCTCCCCTCCAGGGACGCGGGGGCTGCCCGGTGTCGTGTCCTCTGACTCCCAAACAAGTCTCCCGGTGGCAGGGAGGTGAGCAGTGGGTCAGGAAAGAGATCACACACGCGCAGACACACACACACCCGATTTCTTTGCCCCTCGCTCAGCTGGCCAGGGGAAAATCCCCTCCGGCAGCCCCCCCCGCCCCACCAGTGCTGCCACCCAGCCCCGGAGCGGACGTGGGGCCGGAGGCTTGGGAAGGAGTTGGGTACCTTTGCTGTGCTGGTACTCGGCGCTCCCCGTGGCGCAGTCCGGGGTGCAGCTCACCTCGATTTCCTCATAGAAATCCGACTCGGTGTCCGAGCTGCTCTGCTGCCCTTTGCTGGAGGGGAGCTCCGGGACGGGGGGCTGCTGTCCGGCCGAAAGCAGTGCTGCCGCCGCCGAGCGGCTCTCCGGCACCGTCCCTGTCCCTGGCAGCACCTCCACCTCCTCTTCGTCTTCTCCTCCACCACCTCCTCCTCCTCCTCTCTCCCGGGACGACAAGGGGCCAGGTCTGGGGCTGATGCAGTTCCGATGGATCATCTTCTCCTGCGGCTCCGCAGCGGGGCTCCCCACTGCTTCGGACAAATTAGGCACCCTCTTGCCAACTAGAGCGCCAAGAGTAGTCCCCTCCAGAAACATCACCATCTCCTTCCTGGTTTCCATTGTGGCTTTGCTTAAGGGAGGGGAGAAAAAAAACCCAGATCTCTTTCCCCCCTCCCTGCTGCTCCCGCCCCAGCCGTGTACAAACCCAGCAACCCTCTCCTGCCAATGCAGAGGAGCCAGCGGTGAGATAGGGTGACCTTGTGATGCGAGCGCTCCACTCTGCTATGCTGCTCTGGGAGGGATCACCATTGCCCTCTTCTTTCTAAGCTGTCATCCTCAATGGTGCAGTCGTCATTACAGTACCACCGGTGACGCCACACATTGATTGCCAGTGGATAAATAGAAACGTCTGCCATTGGGAAGATGAAAGGAAGAGCCGGAGCGAATGGGCTAAATGCGTGATGCGCCAGGTGTAGGAGCCTGACATGGAGAGGGAAGTGTGAAAAAGAGATGCATATGGAGCTGCAAAGATGTTGTAACATGCGGAGAGAGTTCCGCGGGGGGAAGCCTTGCCTGACAATTAAATAGCCCTTTGACTGCTTTAAGCCACAACCTTGATGTAGAATTGAGGCGAAGATCCTTAGCTGCATCCTGGAAGTGAGAAGATACGTACTCAAGCCTCTTCCTTGGATGCATTATTTATTGCTGGCAATCAGCTTCCGCCTAACTGCATATATAAGGCTTCTAAGAAATCCTTTGCAAACTTGAGGATAAAGAAATGCGCTGCTGACATTTGAATGCAAAAATAGCTTTGATTTCTTGCTCTGGGTCAATATCGGTTCCTATCGGTATAATTGTCATTGCTTTCTGTTTACTGAGATTAAAATGTTAGTTTACCATTTGGAAATGCAGTTATATATTTATTGCTTTTTTCATGTGAAAAGATACATCTACTTCACTTGTAACTGTAGTTATTCCATCTATCTGCCATTTATCGTTTGTTCTTATTTTTTTTCTTTGCTTTTCCCATTTTTCCATTATTCTTGCATTTTTATCAGGGTTTTATGTCTCCTTTCCTTTCTTCTTTTTAACTAATTGCTTTGCACAAATTATTATCTATTTTCGTTGCGGGGGGGTAGGGAGGGGATGAAGAAGGTCTGCCAAGAGTAATTCAGGCTCAGAAAAATGCAAGTTATCAAGGCCAGAGCTTATGCTAGCTAGCAGATGTTGTTGAAACAGACATGACAAGGGCAACAATTTGGACAGCACTCGTCTGAAAATAAGGGACCTCGTTCCATAAATACAGTGGCACGTGTAATCTTTTTTTGCCTATTATGATATTTCTAATGAATGCGGTAAGGATCTCATCTTTAGTTAACATTGCCTCACATGTGTAATGTCAAGTCATTTTTTGCCATCTGTCGTAACTAGGTTGTTCTAAATTTTTTTTCTCGGAGTGTTATTGGCTAGTCAGGATACAGAAAACATTCAACCAATTACAATCCCAAACCGGTGAGGAATTTACTGGCATATCTGAGGTGACGTCGCTCCAGTGGGGAACAGGCAGCGCAATAGGAAACATGCTGTGATTTTCCGTCTAGCCCTGCGAGCAGGATGCAGAGAGACAAACAAACAAACAAGCAAACAAGATTCCCGGTCTGCTGGATGCGTGGATTAAGGAGTGCTCCTAGCAATAGGCATACTGTTTTCAGGGTGATAAACTACGAGTTTTTACAGGGCTGTAGACACCATTATCCCTTTATCCCTGTATATACACGCACAAATTTTTCCATGCAAACACATATCATGCACACATAACACACTCTGGACTGAGCTGCTTTCCACCGCATGTTGTGAAGCATGCACTTCTCCAAAGCTTGAAAAATTATGGAAAACTCACTGATAAATTCCTTTTCCCTTTTCTCCCCTGCCAGCCTCTACACCGACGTGTGCCCTGTGAGGACCTGCCGCCCATCCCTGCAGCAGCCGGGCTCGGCTCTGTGGGCTGTGGGAACGTGGAGTCGGGGAAGCAGGACCAGGTCCGGGGGAATGGATGGATGGATGGATGGATGGATGGATGGATGGATGGATGGATGGATGGATGGATGGATAAGGCAGTCCGTCTCCAGTGTTGAGCAGAGCACTGAAGGGCAGCGCTGATCCCTGAGCAGAGCGG